GGCATTTGCCCCTTGATTGACGTACAGGTAAGCCAGTCTGAGTTGTATTGTGCCATACAGGTTCATGCAGTTATGAGGGGGCCTCACCTCCTCATCCGAAGGTCCACTAGCAGCCCCCCCCCGCTAGCGACACAGATTGGGCAGGGGCGGCCCTGTAGGTAGGTCACTTGGGCGTGGTCATTTTAAAAGTAGCTCCTAAGCTGAAAAAGTGTGGGCACCCCCGCTTAAACCTTCCTCCCGCTTGTTGTTAACATGCTACCTGACTCCTAGGTATGAGAGAGATAGTGGCTGGGTCTGTGGGTTTTTATAGATTTTAGTTTTTGTACATTTCTTTTTGTGTGGACGTGTTGTAATAAAGATTGTAATTGAACATAGAAACTATATAATGAACTGAACGTTAAGAAATAGCCTTAAGGTAGTATTTTTCATAAAAGATATGATTAATCAATTGAATTGAAATTGAATTAAAAAAGGGTTGAACAATAGATGCATTTGAATGAATACATTAAATAGTTATTCTGGCCCTGTTATGAATCTGCTTAGCACAACCGAGGTGGCTTATAACTGTATAAGAGGACATTATAGCACCACACATTAAAATTAAAATATTAAGAAGAATTTTTAAACGAAAATCCACACATGTTCTCAGCTGTATGTGCCTCAACAAATACAGTGTGGGCTTCAAAAAGAAAATATTGAATCCAAAGTTAGATCAGGAGGACAATGGCGTTGTGAAGCAATTAAACATTGAGAAACGTGTAACATTGTAAAAAATCTCAGAGTTAAAACTGTGATAAATAAATATATAGTCCATTCCTGCTTCTTCTAGTTTTGACTGTATGAACAGATCAAATGCAACAATAACGTCTACCCACCAGATGGTGCTCTGCCATATGAATTTCTACACAATTCGACTTCTCATTCAGTGAATTCTAACAACCTATTGTCAGCTAAATCAAAACTACTCTAATATTATCATCCGTTCCAGTACAATGATTGCATGCATACTAGTGAAATAATTACATGTATTCTGATGCAATGTAATCTTATTCTAGTGCAAATCACAAGGTATATATTTAATGTATTTTAAAACTGTTGTCGCTGCTTTTCTGCCGTAGTTCTTTGGCTTATACAGTGGTGTTTTCTTGCGTCTTTTAAGTCTCCTGATCAGGACTAACACCACCATTTCGTTTAATACTTTGCAATGATAAAAAAAAGGCTCAGCTGTCAGTGTGTACATGTTGTAGGAAGAACATTCATTTACGTAATCACTGCAAAGGGTGTGGTGTGTTTATAAAAAAAAGAAGCTTCATTTACTTTGCTAATCACTGTAATATAGTTCCTCAAACTGACAGTAGATGGAAGATATCATCTTACATATCAATACCATACATGTAAGTGGTTTGGCTTCAAGAAAATCGCTGCACTACCTAAAAGACACAGGTGATAAATGATGCAAAAATAACAGCTATTTGTTTCCTAACACTGATTAAATTGAACTCTGGACACCCAGCTGTTTATTAAGCCTGCCTGACATCTTAATATGCATTCGCTTTGGGCAGATTATCCTCACTATTTATTATCCTGTCCTGTTTATATAACACTTGTGTTAACACAACCACTCACATATCACCACCTTGCTGTTAAAATACGAAGTTTAATCCCTGCACTGACGTATATAGGTAAATTGACATACATAACATTAAGAAAGTAGAAGCTCTCCTCTGAATGGAGGGGCCCATCATGCTAACGTCAGTTCAGCTAACCTGCTAAGCTAGCTCATTAGCCAAGCTGTACGTCACGATTAAAGCCGCTGTTTCCATCAGACAAAGCCAACATAAGATCAAAAGTAAACTACATTTGCTTAACTGTATTTCGTAACCACTGTACTGTCATTAAACACGCAAAACACAAAAGACAAGAAACTTTACCAAAAACTATCCCGTTCGGTCAGTTTCAGAGTGGAGCTTCCGCTTGTCTGTATTCTAAATAAACCCATCTGCGCTTGCGCGAAAGCCGAAATGCATGATAGGTGGTGTAGTTCGAACGGGTACGTTTGTTTTCTTCCTTTTGAGGGTTTATTGGTGGTCGGCAACCAAGGATTTTGTGCATCAACGCCACCTATTGGATAGGAATGTGGAGCATTGGAATTTGCCAAAAAATAGAATAAAAAAGGATAAATTATACAGAACAAAATACATTCTCTCAATCATATCTGTTGCTTTAAAGAAATTACAAGAAGATTGTATATTTATTTTGTACTATAATGTTCTCCG